GTGTACACACACAAGTATACTTCCCAGTGCCCCGGCAGATAAAGGAAGAAATTGGGGCAAGGACTACTGGCTTACCACAAAACATCTGAAGGACAGAGTCTAGACCTGTCCCTGCTCAGATGACCGTGCCCAGGGAAAAACCACTTTTGGAGGCTGTCTCAAGGCCCCAGGGCTGGGAAGAGAAGCCAGTCTTGGCACCCAGCCTGGGCCTCAGCCCAGGGCGCTGAAGTCTGGGGACTTATCACACATCGGGCCTCTCCCTGCCTGTATTGCTGTTTTTGCAGCTACACCCCATGTTTAAAGCAAGCAAGCCTCAAAGAACAGTCCTCAAAGAGCATCTTTCCAAAGGCTCTCATCAGATGAGGGTGTGTGGGAAGGTGGGAGGGAGTTGGGGTGAATTATATCTGCCTTCGGCCTTTTAGCAAGCTCTGGGAAAGCTTCACCTTTCCCATGTACCTAGTTGTCTGGGTTGCAGTCATTGTCACCTCTCCTGGAACTTGATTTATCCTGTGGGAGAACAGAGGGATTACATGACTTGTCCAAGATCACAGAGCTACTAAGTTGTAAAGCCAAAGTCAGAACCTTGGGAGCCACTCCTAAGGCACAAAGGAAATGAAAGAATGTCCATCAGAAGACCACCGGGCACCCTGACCATCAAGGTCTCCTCCACTAGGAGGAGCATGGGAAGAATAGGGTGCTGAGTTACCCTGGGGTGCTGAGTGAGAGGGAATAGGTGGGCATCGGAGCCTGAGAAGTGAAGTAGGGTATAAAGCCTTCAGTTGGACTGTAACTCTCCCAAATGTAGCCCTCTCCTCATCCTCCAGAGAGGATGGAGATCATGACACCCATTCCCCACCCATCTTACAATCCAGCAGCTTGGTGCCTGACCTCAGGGACGAGTGATGGGGAAGCACTTAAAGCTCCCTAAAAGCTTCTTCAGGAATCCTAGCTGGAGGTTGCTCAGCTAACTAGGAGCCCATGAAATAAGAATCCAGCTCATTAGTCTCAGTCACCCAAGGTCAGGGCTGGCTCCACCCTCTTGCATCCCAAAGCCCTTAAAGGGGTTCACCCTCATAAATCGCTGGACAAGGAAGACCCGAGCATCCTTGTAATTCTATTTCACTCCAAGCTGCTGCAGAGATGTTGTTGGGGGTCCTAGGGTGCCTGCATCTGACAGTTGGTTTTCATTTCCTCCTCCCACCCTCAGAAGCTGGGGGCTCCCCCACCTGGCCAGAAGCGTGGGCACAGACCCCTTGGGCTGGGACTAGTTAAGATGACTCACTACAAAGGGTGTGGGAGATTCTGGGCAGAATACCCAGGGGCCTTCGCCCTCCTCCAATCCACAAAAGAGCTTCTAAGGACACTGCCCAAATTCCCAGCCCCCACCTGGGTAAGCTTTCAGTCCTCTCCCAACTGCCAGAGCTGGTTTGAGGTAGGGGTTCAAGTCCCAAACTTAAGCTTGGAAACCCAAGTCCCAAAGCTTTCTCCCGAAAGAGGCCTTCTAAAAAGCATTAAAAAGGTGGTACTGATGGGAGCCTGAGGTGGGCGTCCTCACTGTGCACCATCCGGAAGTGCAAAACTGGGGAGAGGATCATCTCCTGTATGATGGGACAAAGATGTACATGGCATTGGAAAGCCTGAAGTCTGGGTTCATTTCCGGCTCCAGCTCAGAACCCACATCTTCCCTCCCCCTTGGCACCAGCCTTGAGATCCACTCTTGTGGTTCCTGGCCCCTTCCCATCCCAATATTCAGGGTTCCCAGGCGGCTTCCCCACACCCCATCCCCCACATACAGAGCTCTTAAGCACGTGCTGACGGGTCAGTATCCCACAAAACCCACACCCATAGTGGAGGGGTACCAGAGCTCCCTCCGCCAGCCCTACCAGGCCAAGACGGAGCCACTCCTAAGGCACAAAGGAAATGAAAGAATGTCCATCAGAAGACCACCGGGCACCCTGACCATCAAGGTCTCCTCCACTAGGAGGAGCATGGGAAGAATAGGGTGCTGAGTTACCCTGGGGTGCTGAGTGAGAGGGAATAGGATGATTAGGAAGAGGATGGAAGGGAAGGGGGGGAGGCAGGCAGAGGCCGCAGGAAGGCCCGAGATGCAGGAAGCAGCTGGGAGGGGGGGGGGAGGCTTTGTGCCTGGGTTGTTCTCTGGGTCCTAGAGTCCACTCTGTTCGTCTGGGATCTGCAGACTGGATCAACACATCTGGATTTGTCCAGAGGGTGGACCTTCACCTCCAGGACTCAGACAGCTGTGGAGAGATAAAAGGCAACCCTAGGCCACTAGTTGTGAATGTGAGGAATGGGGAATCTTCAAGGCACCTTTCTGGGTTTCCAGGACAGGGCATGTGTAGGTCACTGTCACCCCTCCTCCCTTTGCAGGCAGTGGCCAGGATCCTTTAAATCAGAGCCAAGTTAGAACTCTCATTGGGGAAACTTTGGCCCCAGGCCTCTAGTATTCCTCCTCCCAAACCCCTTTTCCTGTTTGAGAGACAAGAGTGTCCTGGTCTGGGTATTTACACACGAATTGGATTTAGGTGCAGAGCAAGCAGGTGACAGGACACTCTCTTTAGACTTTCCAAGAGTAAAGGCCAGGTTTAAGGATCCCTTGCCACTTAGGAAAAGGGGACACCCCCTTTTATTATTCCTCCTCCACCACTGCAAGGTCAAAAATGGTGGGCCAAGGTTTTACACCTTCGAAGATAAAAAAGATTCTCTTTGGGAAATTGTTAAAATACAGATCCCAGGGTCCAGTTTCTGAGATTCTCTTTCACAAGATTTGGAGAAGGGCCTAGAAATCAGTATTTTTACCAGTCGCCCAGCGATTTTGATGCTGATAGCCCTGAAGCACTTCGAGGAGCCCTAAGGACGTTCAAAGAAATGATCCTTTGCCCCTCCCCACCATTCCCTCCCATTGGGGAAAGAGAGGGGCCGCACTGAGACCACCGTGGCTGAGTTGGCTCTTCCCAATTTAAATGGGAGTGCGCCTATGCGGTTCGAGATAAGCCGCAGAGATCGGGATGGAAAGGCTAAAGAGAACTGGTCATGGTCTGGGGACAGCGGAAGGTTCCCAGCCAACCATAGGCAGGGGAAGCGAGACGTTGGGGTGGAGGGAAAGGGGAGGGCTCACAGGCTCCGGCCCCGGAAATCCGATCCCTTTAGGACCCAGAGGTGCCAGTCCCCCAGCGGCGGCGGCGAGAAGGGCAGCCGCTCGG